CCTGAAAATGTAGGTTTAAAACAGGACATTAGAAATTAAATTCTACACAGAGAAAGGATTAAATTTTCCTTAATACAGCTGAAACCTAACGGTAGCAGAACCCGAAGTTATAAAAATCACTAACAACAAAGCCTCACTTTAGTAATGATCCTGAATTCAGTTCCAACCATTTCCAATCCTGAAAAACTATTTGCATAAGATTCCTGTTAAGCAACATCGTTCCTCTTCAGAACTTGATTGGGTGACTGCTGGAGGCCGTCATCTGTCGAAGAGATTAATTTTTTCAAACCAGGGCCCAAAATGGCCGTCTGCACGATTTCCCTGGTTCACTTTTCTTACTGGCAGAGACAAGGAACCAGTTCTCATTCAAGGTCTCTCCTGTTATCCATTTTCAGAACTAATGTTATGCAGGCAAAAACTCAGCCACCTACAAACTTTGAACATGAAATGGGAGAAAGTGTGCCTCAGAAACGTCGGAAACTACGTCAACATCTACATGATATAAAAACCCAAGAAAAGAATCAGTATCATTATCCTTAATTTTACTCTCTCTTCTCTTGTCAGACTACTAAGTTCACACGAAAATAATTTATGAAAATTCAACTTTTATATTTAATTTTAATAATTTGACGTTTTAACTATTAATATTTAGTTTTAAAAGTGAATACACTTTTTATAAATAACGGCATTAGATATTGCCAAAAAGAGTAGTATTTCAACATGAAAAGACTGACAAAGCCGGTCACGGTAGCCGAGCGGTCTAAGGCATGTACTGTCTTCGCTCGCTCGGAAGCCGGGATCGTGGGTTCCAATCCCACTCAGGGCATGGATGTTTGTGTGCGTTTTTCTGTGTTTGTCTACAGGTAGACGCTTTGCGACGAGCTGATCACCCGCCCAAGGAGTCCTACCGAATGTGTAAGAGCTAGAAAAAACCAAGTGAATGGAGTTCATGGAGATAGGCCTAGGCCCACTGGGGCTGTAGTGTCAAGGAAAAAAAAAGACTGACCAATATAGGAATACTAGCAGACCAATACGGGTGTCTGTAAACAAGTCCAATGCCTAATGATGGCTCAATTATCTGAAACATACTGTTAAAAACAACGAAAATACGGTGTATCCATATTTCTTATTATAGGGACCGAACAAAATAAAGAAATTTCACTATAGAGTATGACGCGAAATATAAGAATTCTGAAGGATTGCTTTCCAGTAAATTTCTTCACCAATATTTTCTATGACATATTAATATCCCCTTTTCGATCCACACTTTCACTCCATCGACACTTCCTGGATTTCACTAACCCAACAGTAGTAGGCAAGATGTATAGCTATACTGAACAAAATACGAATTTACGTTTTTAGAGACAATTAGAACGAACAAGATTCCCTTATAACAAAAAATTAAGCATGAATTGAGTAACGTAACACAACCCCCTTGACTTTGACTAGGGCAATCGTCTTACCTGCTTGCCGCTTGTTAGGTTTAAGCCTTGTATTATTACAATATTATGAAGCGTGATACAATTTCCTTCCATAAGCAAAACAATGAAACATGGCCTCTTAATTCAGAGAACACTACAATCCGTGGTAACAGAAGAGGACAATAAAATGCCTTCACAATAAAGAGCAAAGTGTTCCGCGTAATAAAGTGAATGAAGAGCTAACAGCAGCTACGTAAATTCATTGTTTGCTCGTATGCAGAATCTCTCTCGCTGTTATTCCAACAAGTTTTGAAGCATCCATTACTTCTTTGTGGTCTCCAGTTATTATGAGTACCCCTGAGCATAGCCTCTTCCTCCTCCCAGGCTGTTTCCGCATCACATAACATTGATAAAATCTACTTTGTATGAGCCACATTTGCTTTCAGAGCATCATCAGTTTAATACGTGGCAGAATTGCACCTTCACCGTCTTCAGCGGGTGTTGGGAGCCATCTTCGTGTAACCTAAGACAAAGATTTTGGCAGGTATTCTCCGGGTTATCCACAATGAGAAAATTTTAATATTGTCACGTGTCTGGGGTAAAGATAAAATTGTCCCTGTGTTGAACAAATTAAACACTACGCAATGAAGGTGTATGAATGTATAGAGCCACATTTTCTTGACGTCGGCAATAGCTGCAGGTGATTGGTCAGCTTCACGCCCCTGTCGCTTTACCCCCAGAAAGAGCCCCCGGTACTCATTGAATAGGAGGTTGGAGGTACCCCAGAGCCGGTCTGGACGATTTGGAGGAGAGAAATTTATTGAAAATACCGGGACTCGAATTCCGACACCTCCGTCATTCAGCCTGTAACCAGTCGCTATACCGACTACGCTGCCCCGGCTCTTCTTCCGTGACTAATAATAACGGGGTTTCAATTGGATTATTGGATTTGTTAACGCCTTCGTTTATACTCTCTCTTCTTCAGAATCAATTATAGCGCTACCGCTAATCTGCCCACTTCACAGGCCTCTAGGACACGCTATCCGTTTCCTGGCAACGAACTTATCACAGGAACTATCACTTCGAAACACAATGAAGTCTTCTTGACATTTCTTGTTCAGTCACCTTGGAATGCCGACCCTCCAGAACTCGACCCAGTTCTCCAATGTTAATTCTCTAATCTACTCCAGCTGCAAGCAGACTCTCTTTCGCTGACAAGGAAAATGTTTTCTTCTATTAAGGATGCGTTTTTACAGCTCCGTTGTCTAGCACTGGGCATGGCGCGCACAACATAGAAAATAGAATTGTTGTGCTACATAGCAACTAGCGGTAGCATGGTCAACAGAGAACACAGCTTCTATTGTTGCGTGTTCATTGGAACGTGTACACTGTGTCGTTGCCTAGCGATAGTCATATTCGTCATAATACAGTCATTGCACTGAACTTACTTGGAGATAGAAACAACGCAGTCGCAATTCCTATATAAAGAAATAAAATAAATTTAAATTTTTGATTCTCATATAAGTAAAACACAAGATTTTAACTTACGTCCTATGATACAATATAGGTTCGCAGGCCATTACCAATGTTTCGAAAGAACTTATTGCCGCAATCTTCAGATCAGTGAAAATGAAGGCATCAGTCTCCTCTTATAAGTAAGAAAAAGTAAAGATATCCCTGTACCAGGCCGTGAAGGTCCATAGGGTTATGAGACGTTGAGGGTCCCACATTATCTAGAAAATCGGCTCAAAGATGGCGGTAAGGTCGTCAGCCTTACGCGCCATCCGCGCTTTAATAATTTCTGGTACTCATTTCTGTTAGATGCTGAGTCGACCCAGGGCCATAGTGCGGCCGGAAGGATTAGGTCAATTGAAAAAATCCAATGACATCATCGGGACTTGAACCCGCAACCTTCCGGCTTGTAGCATAGTGCCTCAACCAACTACGCTAACGCGTGCCCCTCAGGCTCTTCTCATACACCTACAAATCTAGACTATGTCATAATGAAGATCACCACATGCTTAAAGAAGAAAACTTGGAAAAGCAGTCTAGTGTAGCAACAAGCAGGGGAGTTAAGTCCGCTTCCACAATAGAATATCGTCAAATACACAAAATATATTAAAATTAAAACCTTTCGCGATTTTGGAGAGACCTTCGTACCTTCAAATATACCAGGACCGCCACCATCTAAACTTTTGTGTTCTCAGCATTCACTGTTATCTTACCATTTCATTCAACCTTCCATAACCTGCGCAAATTTAGATGGTCTCATTAAATTAGTGAATAACGGCTTAAACGAAACTGCCTGTTTGCGGATCTGTATGGTCAAATGTAAGTATTCTTGCTTCATACGAGGTATGTTCACGGGAGTTCGAGCCCCGGTCTGAAGACCGGCTCTCCTGACAGAATTTGGTCGTTGTTTTCCCTCAGACTCTACATGCAATATTACCTCAAATTAAGCCACGAACCCTTCCTTGCGCATTCTTCCCAATTAATTTAATCATAAATTAGCCTATAACTCAGAATTACTTCAGTACTTAATCCGTCCCTCTGACACATTACGGTGTCAAGGTTGTTTTTGTTTTCTCATTTTGATTATTTTACATATGATAGAACCCCTTGGACGAGTGATCAGCTCGTCGCAAGACCTCTACCTAAACACAGGACAACACGAACACAGAATAAACATATACTAAATACCCATGCCTTGTGTGGGATTATAAAACACGATCCCGGCTTCCGAGCGAGCGAAGACAGAACATGCCTCAGACCGCTCGGCTACGGTGACCGACAGAATTACAGCCACAGTAGACAGCTACGTCATAAACACGTGAAATAGCATTATCCGTGCGATCCCCTCGTACAGAGTGACACTCAAATTTCTGACGGCGGTGAATGAAGATTGGGCCTATTGTCTTCCGGGATGTACCGCTGTGTAGTTTGGTAGATATTTAACAGCCCTTCTGAAGAACTTGCTGTGGCCATCTTCATAGTAGGAGGAACATAAAGGCAGCGTGTTCCTGCTGGTACATCCCAGAAGGTAATACTCTGCTTCGTACGGTTTATGGCAGCCGTCATTACTGATGGTGCCTGAGACCAGGGTGTTGAGGAGAATATTTGGACCGAAGAGAGATGGAATGACAGGAGGTTGGAGAAAACTGCATAATGAGGAGCTTCATAACTTGTACTCTTCTCCAAGTATAATTAGAATGATCAAGTCAAGGAATATGAGATGGGCAGGGCATGTAGTAGGAATAGGGGAGAAAAAACTACATATAGGATATTAGTGGGAAAGTCGGAAGGAAGGAAACCACTGGGAAGACCAAGAGGTAGTTGGGTGGACAATACTAAAATGTATCTCAGAGATGTAAGATGGGATGGTATGGATTGGATTGATCTGGCTCAGGATAGGTACCAGTGGAGGGCTCTTGTGCACACGGTAATGAATTTTCGCGTTCCATATAATGTTGGGAAGCTCTTGAGTAGCTGCAGAATTAGCGGCTCTTCAAGAAGGGCTCAGCTACGTGAGTGAGTGAGTGAGTGAGTGAGTGAGTGAGACATTCCCGCAGTACTTCCTACCTGGAAGTAGCAGACCGGAGCTGTTACGGCAGCAGCCAGCAGCCAGATAAGAGCGATGCTGAGCACCACACGGCGTCTGGTTCGGGGCGTGCCGTCCCTGCCAGAGTGGCGCACGATCGTCAGGTATCGATCAAGAGCGATCACTGTTATGGTGCCAACAGACACCATGATGTTGGTGCCTTGCAGTGCTGGAACGAGCTTGCAGAGAGCTGATCCGAGGGTCCACTGCCTTCTGCAACACAAGATTTCTTATGAGGCTCAGAGTTTGGCTAATAGTGCATGGCCAGAAACTTGCAAATATAAACAAGAAGTTCCTGGAAGAACTAATCATCTACTTTATCTGCATAGTGATTATTTGATACTACACTGTTCGTACACGAAAATTCTTCTATAGCTGAGAGTGTACCCATTCATTGCCGCGGAAATATGTTTACTGATCCGTTGACTAGCTACCGTCGTCTCTCCCTGCTTCAGTATCACGGCTTTCAGACCTTAGGTGGGGACACACAGCAAGGTAATTTCATAAACCTTCTTTTATTTTTCTAAATAAAGTAAGTAGGCTAATTTTTTGTCTACTCCATTCAGAAACTTTAGTAATATTTCTCTCAAAATCAGCTCTACGTACTCTTACACTCCAAATTGGTAAACCTCGGAAGCGGATAAATTCACTGCTCTACTATAGGCACTTAAGGAGAGAGAGAATATATAGTTTTGAGTCCTGCAGCTTCATTTCCACATAACCTAATTTCATACGGTCACTGTCGCAGACAGCTTAATAATAACGGTTATAAATTTGTGCTTACAATTTGTGATATCGTCGTTGAAGACAAAAACAATAGATAATGTCCAGACTATTATTAATAACTTGAAAACATCTGGCAGCGGAACCTGATAGCTCAACACTAACGATACCAAAGCCATCATCAACCATCTTCCATCACAAAAGCTTATTTCCCTTAGATTAATTTGAATATTTGTCTATAATCTCGTCGGTCCACCGTGTGACTACTTAATTACTTCATCACGGTTCTTCATACCATCCATACTTCATCAAACTTTGATATCACTACTACGCCAATATTGTCATCCGACTGACACTAATTTGCATTGATGACTTTAAAATGTCAATCCTCCTATTTCCTTTAACATTTAAACTGGCAGTGAGGTTTCTGTACCTTAAAGATATAATTACGCAATACTAAAGTATAAAAACCTCGAAAATTTAAGTGAAATTACAACTAATATGATTTTTAAAAGTGCTGAATATGACATTTATTATTCAATCGGACAGATCTTTGATTAATTCAATTTGAATTTTGAGCAAAATCTTCCAAGTGTTGTGGCAATGAAAGTTTGAGGTTTCAGGTAGATCACAAAGCCCCCCCCCCCTCTCTCTCTCTCTCTCAGCCTTTGTGGACCTTGGCTCATTTTCCACTTTCGTAATATATACACAGTCGGTAGGACTCCTTAGACGAGGATCAGCCCGTCGCAAGGCCGCTACCTACGCAGAGAACAACAGAAACACAGAAAAAACGCATACAGACATCCATGCCTTGAGTGGGATTCGAATACACGACCCCAGTGTTCGAGCGGGCGAAGACGGTTCTTGCCTTAGAACGCGCGGCCAGTGTGATTGGCAATCAAAAAAGTTATTACATCAAAAATAATGTTACTTGATGCGGAAAATGAGACTCCAAAATTAAGCGTTATGCAAGAGAATGTGCACTGAAATTGTGGGGTGGAATACTGTATAACGCAGAGCCCAAAGTCGGCTACGTAAACCGCATCTTTGGAAGAAATTAAATGTTTTGTCAAATTACAGCAGAATTTAAATGCATTTAACATTTTTTTCGATGCCTCTTCCAGTCCATTCAAAGCTCAGGCCTCTTATTCAGTTCCGTAATCGTTTTTCACAGACGGTAGGACTCCTTGGACGGGTGATCAGCCAGTTGCAAGGCCTGTACCTAAACACAGGACAGCACAAACAAAGATTAAACCCATACACACACCAAACATCCATGCCTTAAGTTGAATTCGAACCCACGATCCCGGCTTCCGAGCAAGCGAAGACAGTTCATGCCTTACAAAGCGCGGCTACTGTGACTGGCTTTCTAACAGGTTAAAATGGCCGAATTACATTGGATCCGAATAAACTATTATACAGTACAAGCTCGGTAGTTAACGGAGAGTTGCTACATGTCCAGCTACTTAAACATGCAATCCTAGACATTCAATGACCACCATCAGCAAACGTAAGCAATGTATTCAAGAAGAATTATTGATAAATATAACCAATATATTTACTGAAACTGATCATTATCATCCCTAACACATTCGTATTTATGTCGTCCAGGATGATAAATCTACATTCGTCAGCAAAGCTGATTTAAATTGATGGAGACTGTGTACACGTAAGTCCATAAAATATCACTGTAACGAACCACACACAAAAAAATATCTCAATCAATCATCGTCACTAGGACGAAATGCGTTTCGCGCTTCACTTGAAATGTACCGGTACGTAACTAATATTAATTAAGTCGACACCACGTTTCTGTCAGCCTCTGCCTAAACACAGGACAACACAAACACAGAATAAACACATACATATACAAAACATCCATGCCTTGTGCGGGATTCGAAATCTTGATCCCGGCTTCCGAGCGATCGAAGACAGTACATGCCTGAGACAGTTCGACTACCGTGACCGGCATCCTTTTAATAAATAAAGAAATAAATATACTGAAATATCTCAGATTTCAATTTACCTCTTCCTGCAGCTTATTCGCCACTCACGTGACAGATCAACAAACCTTGACATACTGTGACAACCTTCACACCAAGCCAACAAAACCTGTCACTACAATTCAGATTTTCATAACGGATCACGTGTTACAGAGTTGTGTCATGCTGCTGTCATATGTTATATTTATCTGTTAAATTCTGCTATTCTATACCTTATATACTTAAAGATTTAAATATTCAATTTCTTCAGAGTGACAGCTATAATGTGGAAGAGATTTTAAGAATAATCTTTTCTCAATTTCAAAGTACATTTTCATATAAAGCGTTAGAGCCTTCTTCGAAGAATGACATAACCAGTTGTGTAAAAACGATGAATTTTGCGAAATATCTTTATTTATAAATTATCCACAAGTTTATTGTCCCACCAAGCTTTCTATATACCAGGACCGGTTTCCCAGAAGTGAAGAGGCAATGGCGCCAAACTGACCACTCACCCCCATCTAGTGCCGACGTTAACAATGACGGAGCTATACCTCAACTCCCACTCACGTCTTCAAGGAGTGGTGCTTAATTAATTACGCCCAGGTATAGCTTCATCTTTAGTCGGTCACGGTAGCCGAGCGGTCTAAGGCATGCACTGTCTTCGCTCGCTCGGAAGCCGGGATCGTGGGTTCGGATCTGTTTCCTGTGAGGTACGAACTGAATTCTTATATACGTGTATTATTCCTATACATTGCCGGTCACGGTAGCCGAGTGGTCTAAGGCATGCACTGTCTTCGCTCGCTCGGAAGCCGGGATCGTGGGTTCGGATCTGTTTCCTNTTTGTGTGCGTTTTTCTGTGTTTGTGTACAGGTAGAGGCCTTGCGACGAGCTGATCACTCGCCCAAGGAGTCCTACCGAATGTGTAAGATTGAGAAAAACCGAAGTGAACGGAGTTCATGGAGGTAGGCCTAGGCCCATTGGGGCTGTAGTGCCAAGGGGGAAAAAAAGAATGGCTTCATCTTTACAAATGCACTGTAGTCCTTAAGTGAATAAACGTTCATGCAATACCAAAAAAATATAAACATTTTCTCAATTATATAATGTATTTCTAAGTATAAGGTATCAACTTCTTAAGTCATTTTACTTTGTAGGTTACAACTCACACTCTTTTAGTAGACTACTCACTTACTCATTATTTTTTATTGCTAGTGGGGTGGGACTAAGTCCCTTGTAGGTCGCGCCATAGCTCAAGCGGTTAGTCGCTGGCTTCCCACCGCGGCGGCAAGGGTTCGATCCCGCGTCTGGCCAAGTGGGATTTGGAGTGGACACAGTGGCGCTGGGGCAAGTTTCCTCCAAGAACCTATCATCTGGAGCTGGTACAATAGGTCAGAAGTGGCCGCAGTACAAGGAACTTAGTCCCACCCCACTAGCAGTAAAAAAGGTACATTGTACTACCTATTGTACCACCCCGAGATGATAGGTGAGGGTGATTGTGGAGCAATTTGTGGAGTGAGATTGGCAGGGGAAACCGAAGTACTCGGAGAAAACCTGCCCCATCGCCACTTTGTCAACCACAAATCCCACATAACTGGACACGGGATCGAACCCGGGCCACCGCGTTGGGAAGCCAGAGACTAACCGCTTGAGCTGTGGCGCGGCCCTAAACTTACTTACTTACTCATTGAGCTGAGCCCATGTTGAGGAGCCGTTAATTCTGCAGCTACTCATGAATTTGCAAGCATTTTATGAAACCCGAAAGTTCATTACCGACTTCACAAGAGCCCTCCACTGGTCCCTATCCTGATCCACATCACTCCTGCTTCTTCTCCTCGTCCTCCTCCTCCCCATTCGTTCTACATGACCTGCCCACCTCATCCTCCTTGACTTGATCATTCTAATTATACTTGGAGAAGAGTACACGTTATGAAGCTCCTCATTATGCAGTTTTCTCCAACCTCCTGTCACTTCATCTCTCTTCGGTCCAAATATTCTCCTCAACACCCTGTGCTCGAAAGCCCTCAGTCTATGTTCCTCCCTTAATGTCAGAGACCACGTTTCACACCCATACAGAATGACAGGCAAAATTATAGTTTTGTATTTTCTAATTTGTATGTTTTTGGACAGCAGACGAGAAGACAAAAGGTTCCAGACTGAATGGTAGCAAGCATTACCCGGATTCAATCGCCTCTCTATTTCCTCCTAAATCAGGTTTTGATTTTTTATAGTCGTTCCCAAATATCTGAACTGTGCCAAATTTTCAAAAACCATATTTAAATGTTATATTATGTATCATCGTAAATATACAATTAAAAATATAATAACAGGCAAAGCTGTCTATGTAAGTGGCAGTGGAGACCCACAAGATTGTGAGAAATCGAGGGTCCCATATCTTCTAGACAATCGGCTCACAGATGGCGGTGAGACTGTCAGCCTTATGCGTCTGATGCTCTTTACTCACAGGAAGGTTCCTGGTACTCATTTCTGTTAGAAGCTGACTCGGATCCA